CTCAGATTATTCGGCAGAAACCATGCAGGCAAGAAGGCAATGGGATGACATATATAAAACCTTGAAAGAAAAAAATTGCCAACCAAGAATAATATATCCTGCAAAACTTCAAATATGATGGTGAAATTAGGTCATTTCCAGAGAAACAGAAATTAAGGGACTATGTAAAAACCAAACCAAACTTGCAAGACTTATTAAAGGGAGTCCATCATTAAATGGAAGTGGTATATACAAGACTGGGCCTGAGCAGGACGTGAAGGCACAAGTAAGTTGTATGAGGAAGTGGTCCAAATGCCCCTGGTCTCCACTCATGTCACATTACCTTCCATTTCCCTGTCTGCACCTATGGCATCATGGGGAGTTCCTTATGATCAGTTGATGGAGGAAGAGAAAACTTGTGCCTGGTTTACAGATGGTTCTGCGTGATATGCAGGCACCACTTTAAAGTGGACAGTGGCAGCACTACAGCCCCTTTCTGGGTCCTCCCTAAAGGACAGTGGTGAAGGGAAATCCTCCCAATGGGCAGAACTTTGAGCAGTGCACCTGGTTGTTCACTTTGCTTAGAAGGAGAAATGGCCAGGTGTGGGACTATATACTGATTCATGGGCTGTGGCCAGTGGTTTGCTGGTCAGGGACTTGGAAGGAACATGATTGGAAAATTGGAGACAGGCAGGTAAGGGGAAGGGGTATCTGGATAGACCTCTCTGAAAGAGCCAAAGAAGTGAAAATATTTGTGTCTCATATGAATGCTAACCAAAGGGTGACCTCAGCAGAGGAGGATTTTAACAATCAAGTGGATAGGATAATGTGTTCTGTGGAACCCAGTCATCCTGCTTCTCCAGCCACTCTCATCACTGCCCAACGGGCTCATGAACTAAGTGGCCATGGCGGCAGGGATGGAGGTTATGCATGGGCTCAGCAACGTGGACTTCCACTCATCCAGGCCAACTTGGATACAGCCACTGCTGAGAGCTCAATCTGCCAGCAGCAGAGACCAACACTAAATCCCTGATATGGCACCATTCCTTGAGGTGATCAGCCAGCAACCTGGTGGCAGGTTGATTACATTAGACCGCTTCCATCATGGAAAGGGCAGTGTTTTGTTCTTACTGGAGTAGACACTTAATCTGTTTATGGATTTGCCTTCCCTGCACGCAATGCTTCTGCCAAAACTACCATCCGTGGACTTGCAGAATGTCTTATCCACCATTATGGTATCTCAGACATTACTTCAGAACGAGGGATTCTCTTCACAGCAAATGAAATGCAGCAATGGACCTATGCTCATGGAATTCACTGCTCTTACCACGTTCCCTATCATCCTGAAGCATCTGGCTTGATAGAACTACGGAACGGCCTTCTAAAGATACAATTATAGCGCCAGATAGGTGACAATACTTTGCAGGGTTAGGGGCATGTTCTCCAGGATGTTCTCAATTGGCATCCAATATAAGTGCTGTTTCTCTCATAGCCAGGATTCATGGGTCCAGGAATCAAGGAGTGGAAATGGGAGTGGCACCACTCACTATTACCCCTAGTGATCTGCTCGCAAAAGTTTTGCTTCTCGTCCCCACCACCGTAGGCTCTGCAGGTCTGGAGGTCTTAGTTCCAAAGGGAGGAATGCTCCCACCTGGATACACATCACTGATTCCACTGAACTGGAAGTTAAGAATGCCACCTGGCCACTTTGGGCTCCTTATTCTTGGATCGACAGGCAAAGAAGAGAGTTACCATACTGATTGGTGTGATTGATCCTGATTATCAAGAGGAAATCAGATTGATACTACATAATGGAGGTAAAGAAGACTATGTCTGGAATACAGAAGATCCCTTAGGACATCTTAAGTACTGCCCTGCCCTGTGATTAAAGGCAATGGAAAACTACAGCAACCCAATTCTGACATGACTACTAATGATCCAGACCCTTCAGAATGAAGGTTTTGGCCATCCCACCAGCACGACCAGCCCAGGTGCTTTCTGAGGGTAAAGGAGTACAGAATGGGTGGTGGAAAAACGTAGTTCTAAATACTAGCTACAACTACAGGATGAGTTGCAGAAACAAATACTGTAATTGCTATGAGTATTTCTTCCTTGTATGTGTGCATCAGATAGTTTTCTTTTCTTCACTTATAAAATACAAGATGTAAAGAGAGCTAGTGCATTTTTGTTTGTACGTGTGTTAGTTGTATCATGTTAGGCGTAACTGTCTTTATAATTGTCTTTATTTAGAGATGTGTACAGGTGCCAAGTTGACAAGGGGTGGATAGTGATGGTTAAGATTCTGTGTCAACTTGGCTGGGCCATGATTCTCAGTGGTTTGGCTGTTATGATGTAGTTTGATAGCTATGTAGTGATGTAATCACCTCCATAAGGACATCTGAGATAATGTAATCACGTCCATGATGAGATCTGTTATGAGCAGCCAATCAACTGAAAGGGAGTTTCCTTGGGGGTGTGGTCTGCATCCAATATAGGTGGACTTTCTGGCAAAGCTAGTTGGCTCTTGCTCGCTCTGAATCCTGCAGCTGGCTCTTGTTCATCTGACATTTGGTTCCTGGGACTTGAGCTAGCAACCTTACCTGCCGATCTTGGGATTCGTCTGTCTCCACAGCCAGTGGCCTGCCGTCTTACCTGTCAATCTTGGGATTCATCAGCTTCTGCAGCCTGTGAGTCAGAGGCCTGCGGTCTGACCTGCCAATCTTAGGTTCGCCAGTACCTGCAGTTACGTGACTCAGTACCTGGGCACCTCAGGAGAAGCCTCCAGCCTGACCCACAGACTTGGGACTATCCAGCCTCTACCACCACATGAGTCATTTCCTTGATATCTCTCTCTCTATGTACACACACACACAGACACACACATATATATACATATACAAACACTTCACTAGTTTTGCTTCTCTAGAGAATCCAGCCTAACCCAGGCCCTCAGACCCCTTTCTGACTTGGACCTGAAACCATTCTGGGAGACCACCTTCTAGCCAAACAACAGACAAGCCCATAAAATAAATAATAACCCCCAAGAGGAACGTTTTCCTTACAAGAATCAATTATAAGAGATCAAAAGGGCAATATTTGCCCAAAAGCAAAGGCAAGAATGGAGGAAGAGGTAGAAAATCAAGACAAAAGACAATGGGGAACCCAGGGTGGAAACAGGGAGCTTGCTGACACATTGTGGAGAATGAAGCCAAAGCCATGAAACACTTTATGTACAAACTATTGAATGCGAATTGAATTCACTCTGTAAACTTCTGCCAATTGCACAATGAAATAAATAAATATACAAAATATACCACTTTGTCACAAAACAAAACAAAAAAGCCCTAATGGTTTAGGATACGGATTTGTCCAAGATCTGGGAACAAATAACAAGTATTTACACCTCATTTCCCTGCAGGGCCTAACCCTCTTTTCCTGAGTCCCACCTGAATGCTCAGGTTCTCAGTGTCCCATTCTGTAAGACGGTCTACATTGACTCTCCTTCACCTGGAAAAATCAACAATTTACTGAAAGAATTGTGCCCCAGGGATTCACTGAAGCTCCTTCCAACTTCTCTCAAGTCTTAAACCAAGATCTCAGGTATACACGAACCCCTCGTGGGTTCACTCTGATACAGTATGTACATAAGCTCCTCTTATGTCCTGCTCATCTGGAAAGCTCTAAGACTAACTTTGTTTTCTACTCACTGAGCTAGCTAAAAAGGGACACAAAGCTTCTAAGGAAAAATTCCAATTCCACAAAACAACACTTCTTAGCTAGGCCATAATCTGTTGGCTAAAGGAAGGGCATTATCTGAGGGAAGATTACAAATCACCCAGATTATCTAAAATTCGTCAGCCTCCTCGGCCTGTGAGCCAGAGGCTTGCTGTCTGACCTGCCAATCTTGGGTTTGCCAGCCCCTGCCACTACATGAGTCAGGAGAAGCTCCAGCCTGACCCACAGACTTGGAGCTTTCCAGCCTCTACAACCACGTGAACCATTTCCTCAATATAAATATCTCTCTTTATATGCTTCACTGGTTTTGCTTCTCTAGAGAACCCAGCCAAAAACAGTAAGTAAGCACAAGTAAGCCCGTGCTTACCTTCAAGATGTGGCGAAACCTTGCCTATTGGATAATCCGCCCCTGGCCATGACCCATGTGTGGGCTGGAGCAACAAGAGGCCCACAGCCTGGGCACCTGTGCCATCCTCCGCTGCCCACAGAGCCAGGCCTTCTCCTGTAGACACTCAGGTCACAGGTGCTGGGCACACTTGTCGCTGCAGGCGTTGGGGTGACGCTGCCCTGCTGGCTGCTGGAATATGATGACGCACGCTTTGTGAGAGTGTGGGGAGCCCAGTCAGCTACATCATGCATGGGCCTCACCCAGTGGTGGCACACAGCAAGTGCTCAATAAATGCTGGTGAAGTCGTTATGAGCAAGCAGGCAGTCTGTTAGCCAAGATCCCGACAAGTGCTGAGCTGCGCATGACCAGCCCCACCTGCCACCAGATTTCCCACTGTAACCCTGGAGGCCAGTGTGCCCTGCAGGTGGGTGGCTGTCCCCCCAGCGTGAGCAGCACAGCCTTGCCCCATACAAGCCCTCTTCCGAAACACGTGTGATCTTCAGCAGGTCTGCCTTACCGCCAGTGCTTCTTCTTGGCTGTGGATCTTTTTGCCGCTCAGTAATCTGCAAGACAGGCAAGGGGGGACACTCAGGGGACACATGAGACGTCTCCTTTCTAAGTCCTGTTACGAGAGGCTGAGACTAGAGAGCTTGCTTCTGTAACAGAGTTCCAAAGCTACGGCTGCATGGTCCCACCCTCCCCGCCCTGCCCCAAAAGGAGCTAACTCAGCATCTGCTGCCCGCCGTGACAAATTCCAAACCTGCCTTGTCCAAGCTCAACTGAGACAGTTCAGCCACTCTGCACATGTCTGCAAATGACCACAAAAGCAAATAGGCAAATCGAGAATGCAGAATCCGGGAATAATGAAGCCAGACTGTCCTATGTCTTAGTTACCCAGTGCTGCTATGACAGAAATACTGCAAGTGGGCGGCTTTGACAAACAGAAATCTATTTTCTCACAGGTTAGGAGGCTAGAAGTCTGAATTCAGGGTGCCAGCTCTAGCGGAAGGCTTTCTCTCTCTGTTGGAGCTGGAGCAAGGTCCTTGTCTCTTTGCGCTTCTGTTCCTTGGAGATCTCCATGTGGCCTGGCATCTATCTTACTCCACCTCTCCTCAGCTCACTGGTTTTAATCTCTTTTATATCTCAAAAGAGACTGACTCAAGATACACCCTATACTAATCCTGCCTAATTAGCATAACAAAGATAACCCATTCCCAAATGGGATTAAAACCACAGGCATACCAAACCAAAACCCAGTGTTGTGGAGTCGATTCCAATTCCTAGTGACCCTATAGGACAGGGTAGAACTGCCCCATAGGGTTTCCAAGGAGCGGCTGGTGGATTCAAACTGCCAACCTTTCAGTTAGCAGCCGAGCTCTTAACCACTGGGCCGCCAGGGCTCCACCACAGGCATAGAGGTTAGGATTTACAGCACATATTTGCGAGGGACATAATTCGATCCATAACAAGGTACTTGTGGTATAATAGACTAAAAGCAAGGGTTGGGCCACTAAGCTCCATCCTGTCGTGAGGACTCAGGAGGTGAGCCAGACTTCTGCTCCACACACTGAGGCAGGGCCACCCCAGAGACCCCTCAGGGGCCTGAACCCCCATCCCCAGCAGACATGGAGCAGCTCTCTGCAGCTCTCCCCGGGGGCAGGCTCGAGAGCTTCAGCAGTTTAAAAGTACTTACTCAGCCTCAAACTGGTTGGGAGTTATAATGTCTGCAACCGGTACAACCTTTTCTCTGTAGATTGGAAGGAGATCCTCCGGCACATACTGGAGAGGAAAGAAGGAACGCACGCTCGCTCACACGCAAGAGGAGGAGGGGGTGAAACGGGGCATTCACGGGGAAGCCCTCGGTACCAGGCTCGGGGTCCCTGCGGTCAGATCCAGGTGTCCTCCACGTGGGGCTGTGAGCCCAAAGGGCTGTCAGGGGCTCTGAAGGAAGGGCTCGGGTCAGGTGCAGGAACACAAGAGGGGCCTTGCTGTGCACCCTCACAGACAGGAAGGGTCTGTGATAAGGGGCAGCAGGAACCCTGGGCATGAGCTCAGGAGCCTGGGGGACAGAGCAAAGGAGGGAGGGAGATGAGAAATGGGGCATCTACAGGACGGTGTGAAGAGCCAGTCCTCATTGCAAACGTAATGAAGAGGATGGAGCATCATCTCCACCAGGTATCCTGGGGCTGGAGTGGATGGGGCGCACAGGAGGGGCTTACGGGGCACTGGCCCATGTCGATGTGGGTAAAACCAGTTGCCGTGGAGTCGATCCCAAATCATGGAGACTCTGTGTGTCTCACGGGAGAACTGTGCTCTGTAGGGTTTTCAATGGCTGATTTTTCAGAAATAAACTGCCAGGCCTTTCTTCCAAGGTGCCTCTGGGTGCACTCAAATCATGTGGCTGCTAAGCTTTCAGTGAACAGCAGAGGCTGTTAACCATTTTTACCACTCGGGGACACCCTGATCTGGGTACCAGGGGCCTAAATCATGCTCTTCTCTGTAGGTACCTGAGTTATGGTTAATAACAGTCAACACGCCCTCCATCTACTAAGTTTTTGTCGTTAAGTTATCAGATAGACAATTCTACAGGGCAGTTTTCTTTAGGTATCAGATCTGTTTAAAAAGAAGCCAGATGCTGAAATGTACACGCAAAAAAAGGTTGCAATGGCAAACGTTTTATTAGATATATTTTTATCACAACTTAAAAAAAAAAAGACCCCCAGAAGCCAAAATCCAATGTAGGATCTAAAAAGACTTTTTTAGCTTTACGGAATGTTCCGCCAGTTACTAGTTGAAAAGTCTCCGTTAACACGTGCTGGGTTTGAATCCTTTTCCATTGCTTTGTTCCCAAGGAACCTCCCTTGGCTTCGACCTTTGTACTAGGTGATCCCAGCAGATGAGGCAGCCCAAGCGGCACTGGACCATCAGGCCCCAGACACAGGCTTGGGAGGCATTAGGGGGATGGGTCAGAAGCCCAGCCCCCAGCCTGTCATACTGCTTGTCTGGACCAGACACACTGACTCATATTTATGCTGGTCTTGGCTCACGATAGAACATAAAGATAATCCAAATCAAGAGAACATGTCCCAGGGTCCCAGGGTCCCAGTGAACTGGACAGTGGCCTCAACTCTTCAGGATCCAAACACAAGAGTGTCTGCTGGGCTTCCTGCAGGTCAGTATCATCTGAGCTCCCTGCAGGGGGCAGCGAAAAGAGAAAGGGAGGCAAGTGCAGAAAGGGTGCTGGTGCAGGGAACCTTTTAGAAAACAGGCCCAGGAGAAAGTGGGCGTTAGCTAACCAGCCTGCCCTGGATGAAACACCCACCTACACCCTAGCTCCCACCACTGCCTGAGTGGGGCGGGGACACAGCTGCTGGGTCAGCCAAGGACACGGGCTTGGGTGTGCCCTGGTGGCATGCAGTGTGGAAGGCTGACCACCAGCTCCCTGTTCCTAGTGGCTTTGAAGCACGTATCTGTGGCAAATCTGAACCGCAACACCAAATGCAGCGTGTACTGAAATCACGTGGCCGCTAAGCTGCTCAGGCAGGATCATCGCTGAGTCCTTCCCATCTCTAAAATCCCAGACTTCTGTAACGGCCACAGGATGATCTTCACTCCCGGCTTCTACGTTACTCACTGATAAGTCAGTATTGTAAGTTACAGGTATAAACTGTGGCCTGCTGCTATCTGCCTGCAGGTAAGAATGGTTTTCCCCTTTTTAAACGGCTTAGAAAAGAATCAAAAGAAGAAAACTATACAAAATTCCAGTCTCGGTGTCCATAAACGCTTGAGTTTTACCAAACACAGTTGTGCCCGTTCCTTTACGCGTTGTCTGTGGCTACTTTCTCGTTACAACATGAATATGGTATAACAGGGATGTCTGGTCTGCAAAGCCTAGATGATTTACGGTCTGCCCTTTCTAGAAAACATTCGCCCACCCTTCTCTAAGTCCTGCTCCTTCCTACAAGGCTGACGTCTCTACCTGGCCGGCAGCAACTCAACGAGTGAGGCATTTAGAGAGGCTCCTGAGTTTTGGGAGAGAGGGCTTGATGGCGGTTCAGGGAGCCCCTGGGTGGTGCAAACAGTTAAAGCACTCGGCTACTAACCGAAAGGTTGGTGGTTCAAGTCCACCGAGAGGTGCCTCAGAAGAAAGGCCTGGTGGATCTATATCTGAAAGGTCACGGCCATTGAGAACCCCGTGGAGCACAGTTCAACTCTGACACAGGGTTGCCATAAGTCTAAGTCAACTCAAAGGCCATTGGCTTGGTTTGGTGGTGGTTCAATGGCAGAATTCTTGCCTTCCATGCAGGAGACCCAGGTTCAATTCCCGGCCAATGCACCTCATGCACAGCCACCACCTGTCTGTCAGTGAAGGCTTGAGTGTTGCTATGATGCTGAACAGGTTTCAGCAGAGCTTCCAGACTAAGACGGACTAAGAAGAAAGGCCTGGTGACCTACTTCTGAAAATCAGCCAATGGAAATGCTATGAATCACAACGGTCTGATCCATTGTGTGTGGGGCCACCACGAGTTGGGGGCTGGGTCCAGGGCTGAGCTGAGGCAGCTCACAATAACCCGAGTATCGGATGAACAGAAATGGCTACGCTCACCACACATAAGCACACGTGGACTCACTCACCATAGAGCCTTCGCCATTCCACTTGTCCCCCATCACCGGGTCACACACTGCAGAGGCACAAAGGCATTGTATCAGCAAAGCAGCAGCCGCAAGTAATGAAGCCGTGATGAGTTTCGTTAATTCCATGTACACATTAACGCATAACTAAAAGCCTGGGGGGAAGCACCGTCTCCCGTTCTCATCCTTTATCCTGTTACACGGCATTTCTCATCTCGCTGTCCAAGATGACTAAGTGCCTCGGCTCAGTTCTATTTAATTTATCATCAATTGCACATCTCTCCTGAGTGTGACTTGATAAGATGGTCACGTGTTCCCCAGGGGGGCGCAGCCCATCCCCTGCCAGGCCCCCAGCCCACCCACCCTCACAAGCCCGTTCCTGGGCAGCGGTCACAACGCAGACGGGCGGCGTGCCCTTTTCAGACACGCGTTAGGCTGGCCAGGTCTGAGGACCGCGTGTGTGCCTGAGATCCCGCGTCCCCAGGAGAGAAGCCTCAACCACAGACTTGGGGCTGGTGCTGAAATGCCTTCTCTGGGGTGACAGAAAGCAGATCCAGTGCTACCAGGGTCTCTAAGGAAGGGAAAAGACAGCAGACCCAGGACGTGGCCCCATCCTGCCAGCCAGGCCGGTGGGCGCGGTGGGGAGCACGCCCAGGCACTTGCATCACTACCTGGACTCGGGCGGGTCACACTGGCTGCTGGGGCACCCTTCTGAAATTGCACAGGTCTGACCCCAGGGGAAGACAGTAATGGGCACTGCCCCATCTTCCACCCAGCGAGCCCTGTCGCTGTGGGACACCTAGGGACCGGCGCTGCTGCCTAGTGGCTCCAGGTCAGAAGGGCCTGGTGTGGGCCTCGGGTCTGCACTGGCTGGCCGTGTGCTCTGCCGGGGTCGTCACCTCCACCCCACTCTCTTCAGGGTCAGCGATGGTTACACACTTCACAGCTGCAGGCCTTGGGCCGTCCCACACCTTACCCACTGACACGGACCACTGACGTCACACCAGGTTCACCGACACTGATCTGACCCCCTTCCCCTCCAGGGTGTTGGAGGCCCACATCTGTAGAGCCCAGCAGACACAGAGCTTCCGGCTGGGGGAGGCGGAACATGTGGGGAGCCTCGAGGGAGGAGGCTAGGCTCTCCCTCCCGGGGCTCCGGGCCCTCCTGTACCAGCACTAGAAGCAGTCACTGTGCCCAGCATCGGTACCCGGCATCGAGCGGGGCACCACCTACCATACACGAGGCTGGAGTTCTGCTGCTTTAGCTCCTGCACGATGTCCACCACCATGGCCAGGAAGGACGCGTCCCGGGTGTAACCTGCGAGTGGAGACCCAGTCACACTCACACAATGGGAGGCCCCTCCCTGAAGGAGGTTCACACCAGCCAACCAGGGCAGAGGAGAGGAAGGTGCCCATCAGACCCGTCCAACCCAGGGGTGCTGGGTCTGGTCTCAGATCTTCTGGCAAAGACCACGTCCCCATCTATAGTCACAGAGGTGGGCCGGACATGTCCCAAAAGGAGTGTTACATTCCAAATGAAAGGGAAAAGCTGTGGGTGGTAGAAGTAGGAGTGATTTTTCCCTTCTTCTCTATTTTCCATTTTCAGTAAGAAGCATGTATCACTTTTAACTACATATAAAAATACAAATCAGTATTACTATTACCATATGTGTAGTTTAGCAGTCCCTGAGTGTCGCCAACGGCTAAGCACTCAGCTGGTGACTGAAAGGTTGGAGGTTCCAGTCCACCCAGAGGTGCCTCGGAAGAAAGGCCTGCCCATCAACTTCCGGAAAATCAGACACTGGAAACCCCATGGAGCCCAGTTCTAGTCTGACACACATGGGGTCGCCGTGAATCAGAACTGACTCAAGATGGCAACTGGTTTTGGTATGTGGTTTACAGGTGAAACCAACGCAGGAGGTGGTCATGTGTTGCTTACCTGCATGTTTTCACACCCCACCCTCCCTTCCCTAGGCAGCCTCCCAACACCCCACCTGTCCCCTCCGACGGACAATGGGACTGTAGCATGGCCCTAGGTGTGGCAGTGACTTGGCACTGCCCAGGACCGTCATCGGACCCCCAAGGCTACTGGGGTGAGATGGTCCCTTGGGCACCACTGAGTTTTGGGGGTACACTCCAGTCCCTCCCTGAAGGGCATGTGGGGTGGGGCTGGAGGGCACTCTGGGCCCTTCCGCATCCCACCCTGGCTGCAGCCAGGTCCACAGGCACCGGGTACCGCACGCCCTCTGGGCCCTTACCCGTGAGCACGTAGTCATACTTATTCACATTGTTCAGCTTCAGGCCTTCGTACAACTCGTGTAGCTCGCTGGAGTTCAGCACTTGGCCCTTCCAGTGGGTGTAGCCTGTGGGGAGAGCAGGACACTCAGGGCTTCGACCCGGGCATGTGGGTGGCGTGCGGTGTAATGCTCAAACCGTGTCACTGCCCGGACAGCAGGCGCGTGTCAGCCATGAACAGTGACCGCCCAGAGGGCCAGTCCTCACCTGTGGGCCGGATGAGGTCAGCGGGGCACAGCGCCAGCCCACGCTGTCTGTCTGCCTATCTGTGCCCGCCAGCCTCAAACCCCTTCCCCTCTGACAGCGCACATGGCCCTTGGCCATCTGGGCCCATTATTATTATTGGCATCAGCAACCCCGAACGCATTCATCATCAGGTCTTTCTGAAACCACCCAAATGCAGCTAGGCCGGTGCTGATGGAGCCACATCACATTTACAGAGGGCAGGGCAAGGACGCTCGGGGATGTCCATCTCTAGTGCGTGTGTCTTGGGGAGCCACCCCACGTGTCACAGTCCTGCCATGTTGGTCAGCCACCTACACCTGGGCAGCAGGAAGGTAGGCTTGTCATCTCCCTGGCCCGCTGCCCTCCCCCACAGGTTATCTTGTTACAAGGAAAGCAAGCCTTCCATTGAATCCCAACAGAGACCAATGTGGACCAGAACTGGCCCCACCCAGGAGTGCACCCCGCCCTGAGCCCCAACAGGCACCTGGTGACACGGTCCCCCCTCCCAGACAGACATGAGTTTAAAGAGCCTGCCGTGGCTGCCATCTAGGAGCCCTACTAAGTCCAGGTTTTGATCATCAATGTGTTATCTCCAATCTCTGATCAAAAGGAGGGAATGATTTAGGAGATAATATTGGAGCGATTATTCTGTTCTTGAGCATAAAGAATGTGACCCAGCTGGAGCTGCACTTACAATGACTCACAAGGACACATCAACTGGGCCCTGAGGTATAAAGACAATGGCTAGGAAAATCTTGGAAAACATCTTTTAGGGGACCATTCACATAAATCCCATAAACAACACAAAAGACTCATACACCTTCCACTCTTATCTTTCTTTTATTAGCATTGAGTGAACAGAAGATTTGTTGGACCAGAGAAGAGCCTCCTGACTGAAATCCGTAGTAGTGATTATCAAGAAAGATCATTCAAAAGGTAGAATCATGGTGATTTGACCACATTAAGCCAATCTGTGAAAAGGTGAAGCATTCAAGGATTTTACACAGTTGTAACGTTAATATATAATGATGAAACTGTATCGTTCCTCGGACCCGGGCAGATATGGCTGTGGAGGCAGGCTTGTCCGTTTCCTACTTTTGTCTCTTTGAATATATGCCGAATAAAACCTTTCCTTTTGCTTTACCATTTAAAAAAAAAAAAAAAAAAAAAAGAAAGAAAGAAATGCCCAGAACTATAGAAGCTCAGAGACAGGGATTTTCCCCTGCAGCAGACAGAGAGAGCCTAGCCCTGCAGACCCTGGAATCCAGATTCCTAGCCTCCAGAACTGCGAGACAATAAATTCCTGTTTTTTAAAGCTCTTCTTCTGTGGCATTTCTGCTACGGCAGCCCCAGGAGACTCAGACACCAACTCAGACACACCCCTGTCCATCTACATGGATTTCCCCCCAGCGGCTACCTGCTGAGGGAATAGGGGGCAATGGCTCTTGTTAGGCATGGGGAACTCCCGGCCAGGCTGGGTCTGTGATCACTGAGGGCCGACTCCCCTATGGAAAGGATCCTGTTGGGGGAACGGTCTGCCTCTACACCTCCCATCCAGGCTGCCTAACTAAAGGCCTTGGACCCAGAACATTCTCTGATAAGGAGGCTGGGAATTGGGTCTCCTCTCTCTCCCAGTTCCTTCTCCTTAGCAGAGAAGCCTTCCCCTTGTTCTGGTCACACTGTAACTTCCTCTGTCTCTTGTCACACAGGGTATCACATGGCACCTGACCAACCCCACTTCTGTATCTGTTCCCGGTGGGGAAGGAACGAGGTCTCTCAACTACGGCACAAGAGGGATGAAAGCAGAACATCTGTCCTGCGCAGGCCCCATGCGGGATGAGCCTGCTGGCCGTGGAGACTGGTGCCAGCCAGTGAAGCTGATCTCGCTCTGCCTCTTCTCTGTGTCAGTACAGTGTTTCCCACGCACTGACACGGCGCATGTGTGGCCTTTCGCTGGCGACTGTGAACCCTGACTGCGAGCCTCGGGGTTCAACAGTTTGGCACCGTCGATCAGGGTTGCCAGAGAAGACAGGATGGCATGGTGGAAAGCAAGGACTGGTTAGCTGATGAAGCTGACAATGCTGGCCTTCCTCTGGCCCGACGGTGACAAATGGGACTTGGATAATCGTCCCACGGTATCTCGAGAGTCACAGACAATGTTGTCTGCTCTCACGGTGACACAGGGGTCACACATTGTGCCTGGGGGGATCTGGAGCCACCGCTTAGAGACCTCCTCCCCATTCAGGCTGCTAGCGTGCCCCAAATGAGAGCTGTTGTCTCTCTGTGCAGAACGAACGATGACATGGCTGAAAGTGACACTTCTGAGATGAGGAGTGACGGTACTGTTCTGTCTCACACGGCACTGGGGGCCTTCACGCACCAGGGCCCCCCTCAGTGGTGACCCCCTGCCTTTGCTGCTATCTCCTGGCAGGACAGTGCGATAGGCAGTGGAAAGGCTCCACCGCCATGTTGTATCTATCTCAATACTGAAACTGGGGGATTCACAGTCCCCTAGCCCTTCGTCAAAGCCCTCCAACAATGGGGCTGGAGACAGGGGAGGGGCTAAGCAGGCCCCTGGCACTGAAAACACCCGGTGATGCCCAGCACAAAGCAAGAGTTAAAACAGCAGGAAGAAAAATAAAGGAGTAAAAAGCCCTTCAAGATGACTTGTGTTCAGTGGCCTTGAAGAGACCTTAGAGGCCCTCTCAGGAATTCACTGACAACTGCGCCCATGTTGCAACCAAGCAGCTATATAGCCACAGGTTCAACGGACAGAGAAATAGGGAACTAAAACGGGAGGAACCACCTCTAGGTTACCAGGTAACTGCGCTGAACCCTGGTTTGCACTGGATGAGGAAGTCAGATACCTCTGCCCCAAGCAACTTGCAGAATATGACCAGGTGGTCCAACGTACACTGAGTATTTACATCAAGTCTGAATTAACTTGTGACAATGGCAATATCTTGTTTAGTTATGGTGTTAAGAAAAGGAGCCTTCTGTGTTACTTGTACTGGAATGTGTACTGTTCATATAAAGTGTCCTGTTGGGAGAAATATGCTATTTTTACATAAATGGATTGGGACATGTTAATAAATAACATCAATAACATACATAAGACTGGGCAAATACAGCCCTTTGATCTATTCAGTTGGCTTGGAATTAGCCACCACCAGGATGGATAGAGGAAACCCTGGTGGCGTAATGGTTAAGAGCTATGGCTGCTAACCAAAAGGTCGGCAGTTCGAATCCACCAGGTGCTCCTTGGAAACCCTATGGGGCAGTTCTACTCTGTCCTATAGGGTTGCTATGAGTCGGACTTGACTCGACAGCAATGGGTTTTGTCGGGATGGATGGTTGGGATCTCTCCTCCAGGCAGGCCTGAAAAACCTGCTGGGGACGACTAGTAACCCTCATTGAATTCTGCCTCAAACGGTACACAGCATAAGATCCATCAGAGTTGTGCACCAACCCACAGACATGCAGCTCAGCATCCAAACTGGGCGGTGGGCAGACCAAGACTTGGTACTGCTTTGCTTCTTTTTCTGACGGCCTGTTAGGAGTCGGGGGGTGGACTGTTGGGAGAATGGTCTGCCTCTACAGCTCCCATCCAGGCTGCCTAAGTAAAGGTCTTGGACCCAGAACATTCTCTGATAAGGAGGCTGGGAATTGGGTCTCCTTCTCTCTCTCCCAGTTCCTTCTTATCAGAGAAGCCTTCCCCCTGTTGTGAGCACACAGGAACCTTCTGTCTCTTGCACATGTGCGGGCAGCATATGGCACCTGGCCAACTCCACTTCTCTGTTACCGGCGGGGAGGGAGCAGGGTCTCTCAACTATGGCGCAAGAAGGGTGAATGGAAAACATCTGCCCTCCACCGGCCATATGCAGGATAAGCCTGCTGGCCACGGGAGACCGGTGCCCACTAGTGACGCAGAGCTCATGGCCTCTTCTCTATGTGAGTAAATTCAAGTGTTTCCGACGCGCTCATAGAGCGTGTGGTCTTCTGTGGGCGACGGTGGATCCTGTCATGACAGACCCATTGGTCCCCCCGCCAGGAATGCTCGTGAAGCAGGGTGGCTGCAACAACTGCCCAACGACAGCAATGGTCCCAGCGACTCTCAGGCTCGGTGCGGCCTCCAGGGCCGTGGGCTGGCGGTGCCCCCATGTGTTCTGCAGGAGGACCCCCGCGTACACACGTCTGAGAAGCTGAAACACCCATGGGTTAGATGGGTGAGTGAAAGCCGAGAGTCCTGTCCCCACTGGTTCTGGTCCGTCTTTGATGGTGGCCGGGCAGGTGTTAGCTCCAGGAAGGCCTGGGGCTGCCATGAACAAGACAGGTGGGCTGGGGCTGCGGGAAGAATGGGCCTTTCTGCTCCTCAGATTTCTGAACACTCAACAGGATAGGGCTGAACTCAATGGCAGGTGCAGGAACGAAGGTGAGAAGCCGGCATCTTTTGAGGGCAGAGCACTGCCTCCTTTTTCCTAATTACACAAGGCGGGGCTCGGGCTCCACACCCTGTAGCACCCTTCTGTCCAGCCACACCTCTCCATGATTCACGGGGGCCCAGGGTGTACAAGCACCTTCTAAGACAGAAAGGGGACAAACTCAGAGGCTCTGTCTAACTATTCCACTTAGAGATGGAAACAGAGTCCAGAGAGGCCGAGAGAGTCACCTTGAGGGAACAGCTGCTCTCCACCCCCTAGTCTCTGGGAAGTCCTGGTCCAGCTGGCCCATTCGCTGCCTGCCCATCGCTCCACCCCACTCCCCAGCCTGTGTTGGCCCTCTCCAGGCCTGTGAGGCCCAGTGTCCATCCTCACCACCCTCCCCAGGGGCTGTCACCTGCCCA